GTGACGGGAAGTTATTCGGGACTCACCAGTCCCAACACATTCCCCCCACTCATTCGCGATGTCCTCATCGCGCACCAATCCATAGTTCATAGGGGTTTGGGGCATGTAGACGAAGGGGGAGAGGGGGCGGGGTAGGATAGGTAGTTAGCTTGCCAGGGTTCGTTTTGTTCTTTTTCAGTTCGTTCCTCAGGACGTTCTTTAGTTTTCCGCCCCTTGGAGCGGAGGAGGGTGTGGGAGGTCACAGACTCTTCTTAGGATGTCAGACTCTTTCCCCGTCTCATTTCATGCCAGCCGGGTCCATTCTTGGTTATCATTTTTCTTAATGCCTCTTTCCTTTGGTCCTTCGGCCCGCGCAATCCATGCTTTCAATGCTTCTTTCCTTCGGGTCTTTCGGGCTGTGCAATCCATGCTTTCGATTCTTCTTTCCTTCGGGTCCTTCGGCCCGTGCAATCCATGCTTTCGATTTTTCTTTCCTTCGGGTCCTTCGGCCCGTGCAATCCATGCTTTCGATTCTTCTTTCCCGAAGCTCGGACCTAGCCAAATCCACACACATTTCTCCCGGGTCATTTTACCCGGTCTTTCTCAAGTCCTGCCAATTTCGCATGCATATCACCATTTTTTCTCTCTTGTCCCTCACTTATTTTAACTTTCCATGTGCGCTGCTCAGTACATCCCTTGTGCATATCTTTTCCAGACACCTTGTCAGACCTTTTTCTCAGGCCCATACAAACCAATTACTCATCCGTTTCCCAGCTTGCCAGTCTTTTTCTCAAGTCTTTTCCTTTTCGGACGTCTTGCCTGACCCTTTTTCAAGCTCATGCCAAATCAATCACACAAGTCTTTTCTCTTCTGGGCATCTTGCCAGACCCCTTTTCCTCAGGCCTACGCAAAGCCAATTACACAAATCTTTTCTATTTTGGGCATCTTGCTAGACCCCTTTTCTCAGGCTCATGCAAAGCCAATTACACAAGTTTTTTGCATGCGTTTTCATTGGTAGATGACACACCTTCCCCCCACTCAAAATGCGATGTTCCCATCGCGCGGCTGGTTCTCACTCGGAGGTACGAGACCTTTGGCCCACCGACTGAGTCAAGGATGTAAGCCCACTCGCTTCACAAAGGAGGGGTGATCACTTCCTCCCTAGCGGGTGGCGCCTCATCCTTCCACTTAGTCCGACCTTTTGCTATTACGCGACGAGCACCAATACTGAGGTTCCTCCTCATCTCTGGCAGGTAGGTCTAGTCCAAGCCTCCCAGGGCCCCGTCTGGTCGTAATAGCTCCCCTCGGGAATCGTTCCTCCCAAGTGGTAATTTTTTGGATCCGGCCTCTTTCTTTCAAGAGAGTTGGGGCTCTCCATTGGTTCACGAGTGCAGTTACGAAGACCTCGCAATTAGTCCCGAAACGGTTGTAATGTTCCGGCGAGACAGTGTCAATGCCTCGTGGTGGTGACGAACTCCACCTGGTACCTTTGCCCGGCCGCTCCCCTTGGACAGTGCCGCCCAACTTAGTGCGGGCAGTCGAGGTCCGACCCAAACGGTCATGCCACCACTCTATGGTATGGCGTGTGGTTGGAGAGTAGCGAAATAGACTAGAATAAGAATGACTCTCTCGCCCATTTGGTTGTCTCATCCTTTGACGTTTAGGCTCTCAACATGAGGCGCAATTTAAACTCCCCGACTAGAGCTCATTGTTGAGGTCAGTTCCGGACGTCACGCACCGATCCAAGTGGTAGGTGTCTTGGTCCTTTAACCCTCATCCCCTTTCAAGAGGAACAGGTCGCGATGAGACTTTTTCCTTTAAGGGATAAAGGTCTTGAGGTCGTGGTGCAAGCACCGGTACCCCCCTCTTGCTGAGGCCAAGGACTAGAAAAAAAGAGAAATTCATTTCAATGTTATTTCCATGTTCATTTCAAGTTGCCTAGGGTCCCCTGTTTATGCAATGCAATTTTCAATGCTCATTCCAATTCCAATGCTCAATCCAATTCCAAGGCTCCATCCAATTCCAAGGCTCAATCAAATTCCAAGGCTCAATCCAATTCCAAGGCTCAATCCAATATCTCTTCCAATGCTGAGTCCAATATCTTTTTCCAAAGTTGAGTCCAATATCTTTTCCAAAGCTCAGTCCAATATCTTTTCCAAAGCTCGACTCTTCTCAATCTCATCCATCTCAAACAATTATGCAAGGGGACCCCAGTGCCAATTCCAAAGAATGACCCTTATCAGGGGTCATTCCGAATAACCTGGTTAGGGTCATTCTTATCAATTTCAATCGGACAGTCTGGTTAGGGTCATCCTTATCCATTTCCACCGGACAGCCTGGTTAGGGTCATCCTTATCCATTTTCATCGGACAGCGTGGTTAAGGCTGCCCTTATCCGTTCCAATGTTAGCGCCCGAGCGGGTGGGCCTCGAGGACACGGATCCTATCTTTGTCTCGGAGGTTAGAAGGTGGTCATCTCTTTAACGTTTTATGCGTACTTTTTTCCTTTTATCCTTCTCAACAGTCTTTTATCACCCATATATACACCCGACTTAGCGTCTAATGCACCAGTTGAGGCTCGCAGCCCAAAGAAACACTAGTCCGCCCGACCGTTTAACCATTGTGGAGGATGCTTGCTCAATCAATATTCCCTCTCTCTTTCTGACCTCTCATGCCCCTCATTGCTTCTGAGATTGTTTGTGACTGGTTGGATTAGGCTCCTAGGGAAGAGGCTTCACGTGCCTCTTTACCCCTAGGTACCCTAACCTCTCTCGTGTTCGACCAACTTTCAATGCCTTGCATTCCTCAACGAGCCAAATTTCATAACCTCTTTTCAAAATACAATCTTAGTTTTCTCAGGAGGCATAATACAACCGCCCTGGCGAGTCTCACACCAACGTTTTCCGTCATCCCTTGTCTTTGCACTGTCAACAAAAGGTGACTCAAAAACTTGCTCATCCGTGCTATGTCCCAACCAGTCCCTGCCTCATTCTGCTTTGACGGCCTGATTCCCACTGGCCAAGCCCTACCGCTAACATTTCTAACATGCATTTGTCAAACTCACATCCTGCCTATTCTCTCTTGTTGCCACCAGTCCTTATCCCAATGTCCCAGCCAGTACTGAATATTTCAGCATAACTTGCGCGAGGGGTAGCATCTAGAGATCAACATCAGCCTGTCTTGCCCTTGTCAAGTTTTGCATAATCTAGTCCACATCTCAAAAAGACGACCGAGATGACTAGTTGACCTTCTTCTATCCCATATACAACCTGTATACACAACTTCTCTCGCCGCGACTCAGTTTTTCTTCTTGGTCCCTTGTCCCCTAGCCTCTCCAAGTTTCTTTAATTGCGGGGACGTACCCAGCCAAACTTATAAGCAAGCACACATATCATTTCCTTCCCGCGGACATCTCAAGCGTTCTTCCGTCATGAAAGTCGACACTGTGATCGACACGCCCCTCCTCATCTTTCTTCCGACCCCGACGGCCCAGGTGTTACATTGACCCATTGATAAAACCACTGGCTGCGTAATTCACCAAAATCCTTATGCCACTTTGTAACGTTCCCTTACAATTATCAACCTAAGGTCCTCCTTCCCCCTTTCCAACTTGGTTACTTCCTCTGCCTCCTCTCCCAATATGTATCGATAGCTTGGCGATGATCTTCTCAACCCCCCCCCCCCCC